TCAAAAACATAATGTTTATTAACAACATACATGCAAATAAATAACTGTTTGTAAAAAAATAAAACTGTGCAAAATGTATTCAAAAATAAACTTTCTTTTGAAACTGTTTTTAAAACTGGGGAGGGAGGGAGGGCAGGCAGGCAGTTTAGGGATGATGAGGGTCTTGCCTGGGCCGCAAAACTCTGTCATCTCGGGTCCGTGCACCTAACCGTCCTCGGGGGTGAGTGGGGCCTGGGGCGGTGGGGTGGGGGGCCTTTGGGGTGGCAGGGGCTGAGGGAGAGGAAGTGGGGGAGAGGGTGCTGGAGCAGGTAGGGCGAGAGGAGTAGCAATGGGGACAGGACCTGACACAGCCAGGGCCTCTCGCACGCTTGCACACATTCCAGTCCACTGGGAGAGGAAATCATCCAGCAACCTGTTGTGCCAGCGAGCCTCCTCCCTTGCCCTTTCGGCCATGGTCTCATTGATCCTCTCTAGGGCCTCCACATGCCTCCTCAGGAGCTCATTATACACCTGCCAATGCCTGCGGGTTCCATGGGACCGGGTGGGAGGTGGCATGGGTGTTGCACAGCGGTCTGCAGTGGCAGGTCCGGCTGTGGAGAAGAGGGAGAAGTGATCAGTGTTAGGAATTCACATACTGTCCCTGCCTGTGCTCAGTGAATAAGTCCTTACAATAAGGGATGGGAATGTTGTCACTGGAAGCCCACATCTGGCCCTGCCAGCTGCCCCAGCCTCACAGGGGCCCCAAGGTGGCTACGACAATAGTTCCCCCTCTACCATGGCCATACAGGCCAGGGAAGTGTGCAGCCACATGGGTCACAAGACATAGGACAGGGGCCCGGAGCAGCTTGGGTCTCCCTGGGCCCCCACCCACATACACACGGCCTGCCCACCTGTTTGCACATGCACAGAGGAATGCAAGCTGTCCAGGAAGAGTATGACATGGGCAGATTGCTCTGCATCCTCTGTGCTCCCACCTCCCCCCCTTCTGTGTGTGTGACCCTGGCTGCACTCACCTGATGTTCCTTCGCCAGCATTGGAGGATGCCTGCGAGGCTCCTGAGTATTGGGGTCTGGCTCGAGGGTCTGGTTTGATTGGGGTCCTCCTCCTCTTCTTCTGGCAGCTGCTCCTCGGTCTCCTCTGTGCCCTCCTGGCAATGCTGCACAGGTGTCTGCAACCCCGTCTGCATGAGAACCAGGCAGACTGGAGTTCCCCGCCACCCAGGATGTGATCCAGCTCCTGATAATAGGCACAGGGGTGAGGTGCTGCCCCTGAGGTGGAGCTGCACTTGCGGGCCTTGGCGTAGCCCTGCCTGAGCTCCTTCACCATAGCCCTTACTTGATCTAAAGTCCTGGGGCAGTGCCCTTTTTTAGCCAGCTCCTCAGCCATGCGGCCATAGAGCTCAGCATTTCTGCGCCGGGTGTGCAGAGCCTGGAGCGCTTCCTCCTCTCCCCACAGTTCGAGCAGGGTCAGGACCTCTGGCACTGACCAGGCTGGAGCTCTCTTCTTGCCCTTGGAGGGCAGCTGGGATGGCTCCCTGGCAAGTCCTTGGGAGCCTCGGGGGGTGTTGTGCTTGTGCCATGATCACGTGGCAGGGAGGCAGGGAGAGCCGTGTTCTGACAGGCTTGCTCTGTGGCTGGCTTCCTGTCAGAATGGCTGCCAAGGGTGTCTGTGCCTTTAAAACATGACTACAGACAGGAACAATAGAGGTTTTCCCTGCAGATGGACTGTCCACCAGGGGCTTTCCCTGGAGGTCTGTTTTTTTTTGGGGGGGGGGAAGTCTGCATGCACACACGCCTTTTTTCGACAGAGCACTGTCGAAAAAGGCGTTATTCCTCGTAAAATAAGGTTTACCACTGTCGAAAAAACTGCCACATTCTTTTGATGTACTGTCAAAAGAACGTGGCGGTAGTATAGCTGTGTAGATGTGGCTGAAGTTTTTTTTTAAAAAAGCCAACTTTTTTTCGAAAAAACAGCGTAGTCTAGACACACCCTTAATGCCTTTAATTTTTCTCTTTTTTTTTTTGCCTTTTTGGTGGTTCAAGTGTATTTGTTTTAGTAATAATTTAAAAATCTACTACATCTTGTCTTGCACAGTTAGTACAGTAGTGCTTTATTTCACATATTTTTAGTCTGCATGTTTGAGACAGAGAAGCAGTATCTGGTGATTTCAAAGTCTTACTCCAGAGTCTTGAGGAATTTGTACTATGGGTATGTGGGTCCATATATTGTAATCCTTGCTAGATCTTTTAAGTTTAAAGTGTCTGCACAAGAGGTCTTTTAGTGTAAGGTCATCAAGCCACTGGGAGAAGGATATTTGATAGGATATCAAGCCTTGTGGATAAGGGAGAAGCGGTGGACGTGATATACCTAGACTTTAGTAAGGCATTTGACACGGTCTTGCATGATATTCTTATCAATAAAATAGGGAAACGAATCTAGATGGGGCTACTGAAAGGTGGGTGCATAATTAGCTGGATAACTGTTCTCAGGGGCTGTGTCTAGACTGGCAAGTTTTTCTGCAAAAGCAGCTACTTTTGCGGAAAAACTTGCCAGCTGTCTACACTGGCCGCTTGAATGTCTGCAAGAGCCCTGACTTCCTACTGTAAGAAATCAGTGCTTCTTGTGGAAATACTATTCTGCTCCTGTTCAGGCAAAAGTCCCTTTTGCACAAAGCTTTCGTGCAAAAGGGCCAGTGGAGACAGTTCAGATTTGTTTTCTACAAAAAAGACGATCGCGAAAATTGCAAATCGGAGCTTTATTGCGCAAAAGCGCATCTAGATTGGCCCCATCATTAAACAGACTCATTCAATTTCATGATATTTTTTCCTCTATTCTCTCTTTTGGCAGCAGCAGCAATGCTAGAGAAACACTCATTAGTAGATGTGTGCAAAACACAGAAATAAAGAATAGCTGTTTAAATGTTCTAAAAAAGTCTCGGGTGCTGCAGGGTTGGTAATTTCACTGCTACCTTCAATTTTTTTCTTCAGATCTTAGTGTAATCTTCACCAATGATTTAGATGATGGCATAGAGAGTATGATTATTAAGTTTGCAGATGTGGAATCTCCATCACTGGAGATATTTAAGAGCAGGTTAGACAGACACCTGTCAGGGATGATCTAGACAGTGCTGGGTCCTGCCATGAGAACAGGGGACTGAACTTGATGATCTCTTGAGGTCCCTTCCAGTTCTATGGTTCCATGATTTTGTAAGGAGCATTTCACTGGAACACTGTGTTCTGAAGATATTCCTGAGAGTTATGAGTCCCTGGGTGATGCTCGCGTAGCAATGAGACATCCCCCTGTGTTTCATTTTTAAAGATGTGGGGTATGGATACAACAGGAGAGCCATCGTGATATAAACATGTCGGTAGGTTTTTTTCCAGGAGATTAAATTTCATTTGAATTATGCCCCCATTAAAGTATTATTAATTCAATGTTATTAATTCAGAGATAGTATGCATTCCCCCGTGTACCACAATATCTGTGTATTGGCATCTTAGTTCACACAGTGTGTGAGAACCACTTCATCCATGTAGTGAGCAGGGGTGGCTGCTCACTGGCCCTGAGGGGGAAGAACCCCTTTCTAAGCCTGGATGGGCGGAGCCCAATCCTGTCCCTTTAACTCCCCAGGAGCCCAGGGGCGGGGCTGGTAGGATAAAAGCCCAGCCTAGGAGCTCAGTAAGGCCCCTGTAGCCAGAGGAAACTCCCAAGCTAGGAGAGCCCTGAGGATCTTGCAGAGGCTGAGGACTGGCCCAGACTGCTATGACACGTGGGGCCAGGTAGATGCCGGGGGCGGGGAAGGAGTTAGGAAGTGACCCAGGGGAAGCTGGTGACTGTCAGGCTGATCTTATATGCTTTAGAGCATGTCAGTTTGTTGCAGGCCGGATCCCCACTGACCCCAGGGGGCTGAATCACCACAGGGGCCTTACTGAGGCCTGGGCTGGGACATGGTGGAGTAGGGAGGGCCTGCGCCCACCCTGCCACCCTACATACCAAGTGGCAGTCTCTCCCTTCCCTCACTTGCCTGTGGAACTGTGTGTGTGTGTTGCTGCCCCACCCGGAACCAGGGCCTGGGCCTTACTAACTGTAGGACTGTGCTTGTGTTGCTGCCCACCCTGTACTCAGGGCCCCAGGATTTAAAGGGAGCTGCTGGACATTTAGTTCCAGGCCTGAGCACAGGTCAGGGACCTGGGACTCAAGCAGGTGGTTTACACCAGGTCTGAGCTCAGGTCCAGGACCCAAGCAGCCAGCTTACAACCCACTTTATCAGTTTGTCACCCTTTCCCTTTCCCTTTCCAAACACTCACTGCAATCTTTAATGACATCATAGGCACTGGCTCTGGTGCGCAGAGTACCTTGAAGCATGACTGTGTGCCTGCTTTGGCAACTTTCCCTCCTAAGTCATCACAAAGATTAAGGGTTGTAGTGGTTGAAGATTATAATGCTCTCTTCCAGAGGAATTACCACAACTTTATCACTTTCCAATCTAATTGGAAAGAGTATGTCTTTGCTCTTGCTTTCATAAATAGAAGCACGTAGCACACATATCAAAACAAACATAAAAATGTTTTTCTTCCAGTGCATTGAAGAAAGAACCACACATGGCAGATGTTAGTCATATTGCTTAATTCATTGTTAAAAAGGCACTCAAATTCAATGGTGATGAGCCTGGTATAAAAATGGGACTAGAATAGAGGATCTTAGTGAGTTTTCTTAACCAGAGAGAACTTCCTCCACAGTACAGGAGTAATTAAAGATGCCCATTAAATTCCAGTATTTTCATTCCACATACATAACTAGCATCCAACTCTGTACAATTTCAGAAAATTAGATAAGAGGCTGAATTTAACAGAGAAGTTAATAAAAGCAAATAGGATTTGTAAAGTCTTTTGAACTTTACTGATGGTCACATCTATTCTAGCAGAACTTCTTTCATCTCTTTACCCTCTCCATCTTCCTTTCTCTCTGCCTCCCTCCCACCCCCCGTTTTATTTCCTTAGATCTAACTGGCTAAAGCCGTGCTGTGGGAGAAGAGCAGCTGTGTGGCAGGTATTTTTGCTCAGTGCAAGTCTCAACAGTTTCCTGGTAGCCTGTGTAGTGTTGGTGGTGATTCTCCTGACTCTGGAACTCCTAATAGATATAAAACTTCTCCAGTGTGAGTAGCAGGCTTTTTTAAAAAGTTGATAAAAGATAAATGATGTTTAGATTTAACTTGCTTGGGGCTGAGGGTGGTTTAAAAGTGAGATAATGGCCTTGACTTTATTTTTAATACAGTGGAACCCTAATAGAGTGAAATTCTCCTCATCCCTCTTTTCCGCCGAACATATTTATTATGGGACAGATTTTCAGAGGATGCAGCATTAATACACTTGCAGAAATTTGCCCACACCTTGTTCACATGCAAAAACTGCACACTTGCAATATGATAACCTTTTTCAATTTGTGTGCAACAGAAAACAGGAAATTTGTTCAGTCAGATGAACACTTCTGTCATAGTTACCCAGTTGTTCATTCATATGTATGTGAGAAAATAAGTGTGCCTGGATTTTCCTGGTGCCGTTGGTATTTTCTCCCTTGGTAATTTGTCCCACTGAACAGATATTTGTTGGAACTGAAATTGCAATTTATATTTGGCAACGCAGTGAAACAATTAAGGCTTCCCTTCTTCTTTAGTAACATATTGTAAGACAGATAACACAAGTGTAGTTTTGCTATATCTTAGTTCACTCTACACAGGTTCCATGATAATGACAATTTTAATTGTTGCTTTATTTCCTGATAGGGCTGTTCTTTCACTGTACATTAAATTCCTTGGATTTTTTTATTTAACCTTTTATAGATTATATGGAAGAAGTTTAACATAAATGCTATAATCCCGTGAAACAAAGACTGAATTTTTAACTTAATCTTTCAAAAGCCGTTAGTGTGCAATTATGTTTAAAAAAAATGTAATGTAGTGTGTAATGATTTCCTGCAGTATATGAAAGCAACATACATAAGTATACTAAGGATATGCTATGGTGCATAACCGCCAATTTTGTTTCTAATAAAAGCCATTCATCCACATTATAGACTGCAATCACCAAGGAAGTCTTTTTTAAAAATGAGTTTATTAATGGTTTTGAATTACATGTGCAGAAATATTGTGCAAAAAATCCAGCTTCTGTAACTGCTAAAATCTGAGGGCAAAATTCTGCTCTCAGATTCCTAGTGCCAATCTGAGTTGCACTCTGCACTTGTTCAGTGGGCAGAACTTCTTGAATGCATAAGTGAAAATTTTATCTGCAAAGTATAGATTATGCAAATGAGAATTGAATAGACCTTAAATGGATTTAACATAAAGCATATTTTTATGGTAGGCTCTATGTGCATGAATTAAATAATCTCTTATTGTTATTACATGAGTATCTGTATCCATATTTTGGGGGCAGAGAAGTCACCTGTCCAGGGTCCAAGAGGAGGGGTTCATTAGTAGAGCCATGAATAGAATTCTTTAGTTTTTATCTCTCCTTCCTCTCTTAAACATTTAGCTCCATGTCTGCCAATCCATTTCCTGTAGTGTTGGCAGTGATTTACTACTGCCCTTTTCCTGCAATTGGATACATATAGGTGCAGCTGTATATCTGTTTGAAGTCCTGATGAAATCAATGGGACTCCACACAATTGCAAAACACCACCTGTATGTATCTGCTTACTGGATCTAGACCTATGTAAGTATAATAAAAGATGTGTTATCTGCCCCTGTATCACGCAGAAAGCTCTCTAATCCAGCATTTCTAATCTTTATAGAAAATCCAGTTTATAATCAAGCTGGCACGGAGCCAACAGACTCTCCTAGCTCCACCTACCTTCTTGGAAGAGGTGACATAGCCCAAATGTTCCTAAGCTCGGAAACAGCCATGAGGGATTTGGAATACAAGCAATGGTGCAGGGTTGGGGTGTAGGATGGAGTGCTCGGTGCAGGTTCTAGGAGGACATTTGGTTGTGGGAAAGAGCTCAGGGTTAGGAATTGGAGTGTGGCAAGGAGCTGAGGGTACAGGATTCAGGGTGCATTCATCTCAAGTAGCTCCCCACCTGTCCCTGATGTTCCTAGATAGAAGTACTTGGCTAGGTGGCTCTGCTCCAAGTGCTAGCACTGCAGCTTCCATTGCAGCATTGGCTGGGGTCTGTGGCAAATGGGAGATGATAGGTTTGCAGAGCTACCTAGCCAAGCACCTCCACCTAGGAGTAGCAGCAACAGGTCGCCACTTGTGGGGAGCTGCCTGAGGTGCGCACCTCCCTGAGCCATGGATCAGGTACCTCAAAACCCCAGATCCACCCCAGCCACTAACCCCACACTCCAACTCTCTCTCCAGCACTATCCCTGTTCCCCCAACATGCTGGATAAAAAAGTTTTTACTGTACTTGTATAGCTGTACAATGAAAATGAATGACACCATGCTGTAGTGGGAATTTGTTTGGCCGTATTTGTTAGAGGTAGTGCTGAATTCCTACAATAAGCTAGATTTACACATACATAGACTGAGATTCTGCCCTGTTAACGTTTGGACAATGTAGTGTTCTCACTGTTTCTGAAACAATCATGGTGTTTTTCCAGTTCAGTGTGAGGAAGTCTGTATGTGCAGTTGAATGTCTTTAAGGAAGAGAAGGTCATTGAGAGTAGTGGAATGTTAACTCTTGTTCAGGAGCTTCTTGCCTGAAAAGTTTTTTTGAAGCTGTTTATTGTTGATGTCAATTCAATGCTTGTATTGTGTCACCATCATGAAGTATATTCAGCAGTTTCTGCTGTACGTATTGCAACATAAAAAATCCATTTCTTCCTAATTCAAATTTCCATATATTATACTTCACTTGTACACTAGGAGGCTGTTGGATGACTGCATGTCAATGGAGTACTATTAGAATTTCTTTCCACAGATGGCTTCCACCCCTTTCTCACTCTTGTTTAATTAGTGTGTTGTTGAAATTGTCTAAAATATTGTCTGCTTATTTCTTTTTTAGTAATCAGTAATTGTGTCTCCTCTCTAATTCAGTGATACCATGCATGGCAATATGTAGTGACTTCTTAACATATCTTAAGAAATATCAGTGGCAACTCAGTTGATGTTATTTCTTGACTCCTAATTCCTCTCATGCCCCATTATTCTGCCACAACCTGGCATCTTTATGCATGCCAAGCTCACTCCCAAAACACTTTTCAGTTGTTCAGTTTTCTTCTCAAGCAGTTTTGACCATTTGTAGACAATCTTCTAGGATCTGCGCAGCCACACTCAGATTGGGGGGAGATTTTTTTGTCTTCCTCACATTTTTATCTCAGATTACAGGAATATGAACTCTGTAGCAAGAGCTGCCTGCGATACATGTACTGAACACATCCTTGCAGTGTTCTCCTTTGATATGTAAATAAAGCTCTCCTCATGCCAGGCACCCACTATGAGCAGATAGCCTTGCAGCCAAACTTGTCCAGAAAGTTCTCCATGTCTCAAAAATACATTAACCCTTTATAGGCAGTCCAGGCCTGAATTTCTCTGGCATGATAATGCAGTGGTTTTCAGTGGGGTATCACAAAGACAAACTTGGTAGTTTGATGGATATATGCTTAATTAAATGTATTCTATGAAAGTTTAATTTTTCTTACATTTTTATCAATGGGGTCTGTTTGTTTGTTGTTAGAGTTAAATGTGTTCATAGTCTATGTAGTCTCCTCCTAGCAAATTATCTTTATTAGGCGGTGTGATGGGGTGTACCAACCCTGCACTGGAGCTGCAGGGATTTGAGCCTGGCTACCTGACTGAGAAGATCCCATCCCCACAACCCTGCTGGGCATGCTTCAGCTGGAGGCCAGCTATAAAGGCCCATGGAACACCTCAGTCTGTGCTGACCACTGATAAGGAAGGAGGTACTGCAGGAGCTCCTGAAGGAAAAGCCCAGAAATACCCAGACACTGTCACCAAGCAGCAGGGAACTGCAGCAGAAGCCCCCAGGCCAGAGGAAAAGACAGAGCAGAATACAAAGGAAAGACTGATAGGAAGTAGTCCAGCATGGGGAGTTGAATCTGGGGTGCTTGGCACATTTCGGCCGCACTCCCCACCAAGCTAGTGGTGATCCACTTCACTGCCGATGAGGCCGTAGGCTGGGACACAGTGGAGAGGGCAGGCCTGGGTCCCCCTGCCTGTTCCACGCCAACCCAACAAGTGATTCTAGCCTTCCTTGTACTGTTGACTGGCTGCTAGGCCACGTTTCCCTGTGTTCAGGGAGCTGTACTATTCACTCTGGCTATTAGGACATATGGGACTTCCCTGTGGGAAGTGAGCGGTACTATTGACTTTGAGCATTAGGGCACATGTGGGGTAGAGGTCCAAGAAAGGGGCATCAGAAGCCTGGTGCCCCCTCCTGAGGGAAACAGGTGGGCTTGCCCTGCAACAATTGATGGATAACGTGGGGAGCACTACAATCCCTCCACTGCTGTAAGGATAAGTGTGAGTGAAGTGGGCTGCCGAAAGACTGAGTAAGAAAAGAAAAAACCCAGACAAGATGGAGCTTGCCAAGTTTTCTGAATAGCTGCTGGACAAAAACCAGACTGCTGAACATCAGCAGCAGCAGCTAAGCTGCTTCAACAGCTTGTTGCCCAGCAGCAATTACCCACGACCCAGCAACAAGAGCAGCAGCAATTGTTACTGCAAGAACCAACCACCAGCAGAAAATGCATCAGCCCCCATACCCAGTCCAGCCAGGGAGTGGTTTGGTCTGGTTGCCCATCACTAAGATGGGGCACAGGGATGATCTGGAGGCCTGCTTGTTTATATTTGAGTGCGTTGCCACCACCTGCACTGGGCCATGCTGCTGGCAGCCTTACTTGACAGGGTTAGCACAAATGGCCTCCTGGAACTAGCACCCAAGCGAGGCATTAGAGTACCCAAAATTTAAGGCAGTCATACTGGACCAAGCCAGGGTCAGCTCAGAGACATACTGCCTGTGAGGAATGGTATCCGCTAGGGGCCAGGCCCAGAGCTGTAGCTTATTATCTTTGAAAACTCGTGGAGGGTGGGAGAGGTCCCAGGTGATTGGAAAAAGGCAAATGTACTGCCCATCTTTTAAAAAGGGAAGGACAGTCCAGGGAATTGACAGCCAGTCACCCTCACCTCAGTCCTCAGA